AAATTGCTGTTGGGTGCTTATTAATATTATTTATTTAGCAATCTTTCAATTCAATTTTTGCACTTCATTTATTCATTCATTCACCTGTACTTATGTATTTATTCATTCATTTACTACCATTCAATTCATTCATACATCTATATATTTATTCATTCATTAATTCATCTGTATCAGGGGCGGATCTATCCAGAAGTTTTAAAAGGGGAGTGACTCTAACAGGGTTCCTCGCCCCAATACCTCATACCCAATACGTATATACTGACCTGAGTTTTCTGGAAGAAAAAATAGTTCGTCAGGAATACCATTAGGACACTCAGCTGTACTATTTTTTCTAATTCTGTGCTCGTTCCAATTGGCTGCCACAGAGTCCAATTCCTTTTGTATGATATTCATGAAGCAGTACCTCAAACAGTAAACATGAATAATATTACCATTGCAAAATGATCCAGACTCTTTCAAATCTTTGAATAGTTCCAACCACCAGTTGCTCTGAGATTTCCTGAAAATAGACCACCAGGCCTCTATCCTTTGATTAGCAGTAGACGAAATATATCTGTGTCCATAACTTTGGCCACCGGTAGTCGAATTTTCATGAAAAACTTGCTGTAGTGCTGCCACAATGCCATTTTCAGTACCGCAGTCTGACCACACTCTTTTTGGACAACCTTTCAGTTGCTTTACTCCACTCATATAATATCCAGCAATTATGGAGGGATCATGGTTACTATATGACACTCGCAAGAATATGATCCTTCTAGAATAACCATCTATGCATCCACTTATCCCAAAACCAAAGGGAGACAGCTTATCATAACCATCTATATGCCAAGTGTTATTGGGGCCAGGGCAGCGGTAAACTCTCCTACGAAGTTTTCTTCTCTTTCTTTCTTTGACTCCACTAGGGTCCATTTCTTTGAGAATATTCATGACAGCGTCTCGAGAAACCCTAAGTTTGTATTTGGTTCTAAGGCATCTAGTCATCGCCCTATAACCCATTAACCTTCCAGGCCCATTAAGTTCCGCGTTTATCGCATTTTCTATATCCCTCCTATTGCTCCGATTTCCTCTTCTTCGTAGGTGGTACTTGTGATTTATCAAATATTTGATTTGCCTKAGAGTRATATTTACTCCGTAACAAGCGGAAAGAAACCTTATGATGCTTCCGTAGGAGTAGCCACTGTWMCAGAAAMAAACAATACAATCTTGAAGATGAGTAMAGGTGGTTAAAAATGGAGAAGGCGGTAAAGCGTCCAGAGAACAACAGGTCGTTGAAAAGACCACAAGGAATAAGCAACAATGAGGGAAGAAAACCATCCTCCTGAAAACGATGGCAGGATTAAACAGCACTCGGCACAACAAAACTCTGCTGATCAACGCGACGCTTGCTGTTTCGGAGCTTGGTAGCCGAGTTCCCATCCTTTTTATTTTGTTTTCGAGCACTAAATTATAGAATTGTTTATTTTGTTATAGCTTCTGTAAAACGGTTTTAAGATTTGTTGGTTTCATTCTTGTGTACCCCGCTGTTTTGAAACTCCTAATATTTGTTTTGTTTCGCAACTTGAAATTTTGTTTTCCTGCTCGTTATCTTGTTTTGAGACTCGTAATCTTGTTCTGTGACAGTGTAATTTTGCTTTCAGACGTGTAGTTTTGTTTTTAAATCTGTGATTTTGTTTTTAAACTTGTAATCTTGTTTTGCAGCTTGAGGTTTTGTTTTGCAGCTTGTTATGTAGTCTTGAGAATTGTTATCTTGTTTTGAAACATGTAATCTTGTTTTGAGACGCGTAGTTTTGTTTTTAAATTTGTTATTTCGTTTTCAAACTTGTAATATTGTTTTGAGACAAGTAGATTTCTGTTTTGCAGCTTGTATTCTTGTTTTGCAACTTGAAAACTTGTTTTGAGATTTGAAGTTTTGTTTTCAAATTTGTAATTTTGTCTTTAAACATGTAATCTTGTATGTATGTGTGTTTTTTTTTTTGTAACATGCATTGTAATATTGTTTTGTCCCAATCGGCCACCGCACAACAATAATCACATTCCTTCTTTGCCTTTTTATTCAAGTTACGCGCACTCGAAGACTTATTTTTGTCCGAATCAGACTGAAAACCTTACAATTCACGACCTTCCGAACATCGTATCACTTATCTGTCTCGTTTTCTTGATCAACTATAGCCTGTGAACGGGGCTCTCCGGGGAGGGGGCCTGGGGAGAGGAAGGAGGGGGAGAGCCTGTAAGCATCCTCTGGAGAAAACCGTTCCATGATACGAGAATCTAGTATCAGGCTCTGATTGGTCAATTCGCTCAAGTCGGATATTTGATTGACAGATTACATCACGTGGTATAAAATGTCAACACGCATACTATCAGATAAAACTAGATAAACCAAAATGGCGAGTGAGAGAGAAAAATATAGAGAAATTTTGCAGCGAAATTTAA